TTTTTATTCAAATTCATAAAAATTACCAAAAACACTGATTAACAAACAACACAGTCAACAAAAAAAAAAATTAAAAACCATAACATTTAAAATACGTATGTTAGTAAATCCCACGAAAATGAATTAAATGCAATTAACTATTGCATCTGCGTGTTTGTAATATAACTCAATAAGTTATTCAACTAAAATTGTTGGATACAGGGATACATTTTCAAAATGAATAAGGGTTGAGTAAAACACAATTTGTTAAAGGCAGAGAGTCATTCTGCGTGAAGAAACTCTTTAAAGAGCATCAGTCAAATTTTTATTGTTGTTACGTTTTTCTGGTAAAATACATAAAACCTGCAATGGTGAAAATTATAACTAGGGTGAGTAGGAAAGAAAACTCATTTCGAGTTAATGTCAAGGATATATTAAATATAAGTATATTTCATAAATAGTGTTGTATACCCACCCAGTATATATGATTATTATTTATTATTACAAATGCGTCTTATTACATGCGCTTAGGTGCTACAGATCTTCAGAGGAAAAACAACTTTTCTATCAAAAACCTGGAAAAAATCAACCGTCTCGACGTAGGATGGACTTAGTCGTTTTTCCAAAACGATGATGGTCTGGCAACACATGTCGGAAATTATATGCCACCTGACTGCAGCCTCACATGTGTGTCCATCGTTTCTAAACCTCCCATAAAGATAGGACAAATCTAGGATCATCAGAAAATACACATACACACACACACTCACACACACATCGAAATTGGTCGAATACGTTTCGGTTGTGCTGTTCTAGCTATTTAATGTAATAAAAACGACGGAAAAAGTAACAAAATCCATACAGACATTTCATTATAATGCATAGATAAATGTTAATAATTATTAAGTTACGATGAAAGACGAAAATTGGTGAATGACGTCATTCCCCGACCAATGACACGTTTCTTAAACTGTGTTCCACGAAACCTCGGGGAATTTTTTTCAACATTTTCAGGAAAATTACTTTAAAATATTTAACTAAATACTATTAGCGACTAATGGAAAAAAAAAATGTTAGTACAACTTTCATCAATAAGCCCAATATTACGAATATTTGTATTAATAAAAAGAAATTTCATCTATCTCATTAAAATTAAAATTTAGTCTAATTAAAGTCATTTAAGAATTATTATTATTTTTTATTTTAACATATTTTTTTAAATTAAATACCGTTATCACATTTTTATTATACGAAATAATTGTAATTTTTATTGCAAATAATCCTAAATAAGCTAAAAAGCTAAAAAAAAAGTAGGTGTTCCACGATAAAAGTGAACATAAAAAAAGATTCCATGAATAAAAAGTTTAAGAAACGCTGATTTAAGTAAATGATGTAAAAAAACCACATTTTAAACTCAAATATACATGTTTCGCCGGCAATTGTCGTCATTTACCTGCAAATCTGGCGGTAAATGATGATAAATATCAAATAATACACTGATTATTTTACTATAAGTACATTATTTTATAATAAAAATTTATTGTTGTTGGATGATTTACTTTTTTATTTTAGGTATATTTTTATTTAACCTAAAATATATATTGTTACCTTTCTTTTTACTGCTGCAAATATTTATGTCGATTGCTGCTTTAAATTTATCCTGGTTATCCATACTTAATTAAATAGAACAACAACGCTATAGTTAAATTTAACTTTTGTCATATTAATTTCACGAGTAACACATATTATTACAAATAATTATAAAACACGCGTTCGTCGCATTTACAACTCGTTAGAATATAGCGTAGATACTAACTAATAAACTAATAGATTATTAACGCTATTGTTAGTTGGAATTTTCGTTTATCCATCTACTTCCGTCATGATATTTTTAACTAAGAAAACTTATTCGCGTACTTACGTGCTTATCACTGATGATGATTATTCAAACCGACATAAATGTATTGAACATCATTCTCCAATTAAACTGGGGATAGACGACAATAATTAGGGAATGTGTACATTTACAACATTTACCACGTTTACATCATTCACCGTAACATATATATTATTATGTGGTATTTATGTTTATCCTCATAAATATTGCGAGTTGTACGGGTTCGTATGTTTGTATACACATTATTGCGTGGAATTAATATGCATCTATTATGAGCACGGCGTATTGGAATCAAAAATACATTATGTCATCTATATCTATATAAATTATGTGTATAGGTACACACATTATAACTGTATCTAAGAGCATTTAGCATATAGTTTTATTAAACAAAAGACGAAAACCATATTCGTTTGTTTTACATTGGTAGTGTGTAGTGTGATTGTAACATGTATGCGCATAGCGGTGGATTCCATTCGAATGATAGTGATGTTGTACTGCGGCTGTCCTAAAGATATACATTTTCGTGTCGATAATGATATAATGATAATAGTAATAATAATAATAATTATTATTATTATCGGCGGTGGCTCGTTCTCACGCCCTTCGCTAGTCGCTAGTCAGCACACACACACACACACACACATACCGAAGAGTGCGACAGCAGCAGCACTAGTTGTGTGCCCTTTGATTTATTACCGTAATAACATTATAATATTATACAGTATAGTATAATAGTCGTTGTATTATGTATAATGTTATACATACATATAGTGTTATTTTAGTATAATAATGTAGTACGCTATCAACCCCTTATCCCATGTCCCTTTTATCCACCACCATCCATTTACCGCTTTCTGATTGACGGCGAGTTTCAGCCGTCGAGCACACAGAGGCCACGCGATTTTTTAACTTTTCGTATAAATTTATTATTTTACGCGCATTTGGTGGAATTCGGGATTCCCGCTGCGAACTGCGACTTTTTGTCTAATACGTCTGTTCGGTGAGACGATATATTGTTTTTTTTTTTTTTTTTATGTTCGTACTAAAGCCGAGGGATTCACGCAGCGGTAAAATTATTTCCGTTTAATTTAAAAAAAAATATATTTTTTTTATTTCCCGTGTTGAAGTACGAACGCCTATATTATGGAGAAAAAAATGTTATTTTTCAATATTTATGTTAAAAAAACATCCAAATATACTGAAAAACGACTATTATAAACAAAATATTATAGATTCCATTATATTACCTAATAAAATACATTATAATTATTTATAATATATATTATCTTACAACTTTTTTTTATTTGTTAAGTATTGTATGTAGTTACCCAAAAACAATTTTCGTAACTATCGAAAAAAAAGTATTGTTTTTATAATTTGATTTCAAACGATACATTCTCGCCGAATTGTTTAATTAATATATCTATGTTTATAATTAATAACTCATGTCGAATTAGAGTAAAAACTATTTGTTTTAATTTTAATGGTTAAATGTATTTACGAATTGGATTAAAAAAAGATCAATTACTTGTTTAAGTTTATGATTTCACGATTAACTGGACCTTCTAAATTATGTTTTATATTTCATTTTATGTAAATGATTTCGTTATTTTTTTCTCGTTATGACGGAAATCGTTTTTTAAACCGTTGAATGATTATTTTTTAATATTTAAGTTTGACGTTAAAACTCGGTATTTGTATTTTGTGTAAAGATTATTATTATTGGAATTAAATATTAAAAATAAATTTTTGTTATTTATTAGTTTCCATGATATTAGAGAGTGCCACATATAAATGCATTTCCTTTAAATTAAACATTATAAAATTTTACGTATACACTATAGTATAGAGACGGATTATTATCAATATATATATATATATATATTAATTTGAGTGTTATAGACAAGTAAAGTATCTACAATACGTTAATACATATAGTGCATACAGATGTACTGCAATGTCTGCAATTGCAAATATATCATCAAATTTTTTTCATCGGAAATCCGTTTAATCCCGAACGCAATTATGAATTATGTAAAAATGATATAAATGGAAGTCTGAGCGAGTTAACGTGTCACATAACAAGTGTCGTAATAATTAGTTTATACGTATTAGACTGCTGATTAACGCATTTCAATCGACTTGGAATAATATGGCAAGTGGCAATTATAAATAACAACGAACCAATAGACAGCGGTTACAAATGTGAATGGGCTTTAAGAAAATGATATTAATTGTTATGGCGTAGTGTTAGGGTAGGTAACTATCATAAATTATTATAGTCAGACTGATATTTCATCTCAGGTGACGTGGCGCAGATCTAGAATACTGTCAGCTAAAAGAGCGCATATTATTTTAGTTCAAGAATTTTTATGTCATTTTTTACTGATAAAGCCGAAATTATAATATGAAAGTATAATAGAATAATTATTATTAATACGAGACTTGAGTATAGATTTCGTATAGGTATATAATCTATGAAAATAGTATAGAGATTTAAAAGATCGATAAAACAATTGTTTACCGCAGTTTGGTCTCAAAGACGATATTGTTCGAGGGACGTAGGCACTATTTATTGAAGCCAAATATTTTGTCGTACACTTTTCCAAAAAGTGTGTTCTTTCGGACTAAGGCCGTTGGACATCGTTCCGACGAAAGAACCTTTTTACACTCGCTTATTGTAAGGCATGCGCCACTGTCTATTTTTTTAATGCTATCAACCATTATCAACGTCCAAGCTTATATCGATTATTACAGCCTACAGGCGACCACCGCTCTTGTAATAGATACGTTGCCCGTTCACGATTAGTCCAGTCCTAAATTTTCCCGATAATTATAAATACCGCTCCAATAGGATCATTTGTATAGGTCGGGTAACAACAAATCGTTATAACCCGACCTGTTAGTATGTATGTATATAATATATACACAATATTATGTTTACACCGTATTATTTTATTTGACAGGGGTAGTCGGGTAACGTCTCCAATTATTCGTGCGTAAAACGGACTTGAAATATTATATATTATCCACGGCGGTAATGACGATGTCTTATATTATTATGATATTATTGTCGACGGACGGGACGGGACACAGACTGAAAGAAATCGATGTACAAAAAAAAAAAAATGAAAGAAAATTTTATTATTCAAATGTATAGTAAGAGAAGGGTAGACCAAGCAAATGAGTGTACAACGTAAGTAGATATATTGCATTCGATCAGCGCGGGGTGTCGGGCGGTGTTCGATCAGACGTGGTGCACTGGAATGTTGGTGCCCGCGGCTTTGAAACCGTCAGCGCCAGCCGAGTAGTGGACAGCCTGGACCGCGCCGTGGTCGTCCACGTACGAGTAGCTTCCCTTCGTCTCGCCGTCGGCGTAACGAGTCTCAGTCTTGGCGGACGATCCGTCCGTGTAGCCGTACGTGTACTGGCCGTGTTCGTCTTGCGAGTGGAACTGGCTCTTGGCCGGGGCCACAGCTGCACGGCCACGGCTACGGCCAGCGGCGGCGGCGTATCAGTGGGGCCGGTGCGGGGCGGCGGCATGCGCGATGCGGGGCGAGCGGCGGCGTAGACGTGCGGGGCCGGGGCGGCGGCGTAAGCGACCACATGCGCTGGCGCTGCGGCCGGTTCGTGGTGGCGGACGACGCTGGTGTAGGAGGTGGCGACCGGAGCCGGGGCCGGGGCGGCGGCCAAGTAGTACGGGACTGGAGCGGGGGCCAAGTGGTGGACGACCGGGGCCGGTGGGGCGGCGAATTCAGTGTGCTTGACGGTGACGACGTGCGAGGGGGCGGCCACGGTGTAACCGGAAACCAGTGGGTGCGAGTAGAGTCCTGCGCTGCGCTTCTTGCGGGCGGCCAGGACGACGTGCTCGGGGTAGTGCACGTTGACCGTGCCGGCGGGCGTCAGCGGCTGGGCGAGCTTGAGCAGTGGGTGAGCGGCGGGCACGATGTACGACGGGCTCTTGACGACCACATGCTCGGCCGGCTGCGGAGCCCAGTGGTGCACCGGCACGTCGGCGTGGTGGACGACCGGCACGTCGGCGTGGTGGACGACCGGCACGGCGGCGTGGCGGACGACCGGCAGGGCGGCGTGGTGGACGGTGTTGGAGTCGGCGGGCAGGTTGGTGCCGCTAACGCGGAACCCGTTGACGGGGTCAGACACGTAGGCCAGGGACTGGACCAGGCCGTTGGCGTCCACGTACGAGTAACCGCCGCTGGTCACGCCGTCCGCGGTGCGCTGTTCGTGCTTGGACGACGGGCCGCCGGAGTAACCGTACGCGTACTGGCCCAATTCGTCCTGAGAGTGGTATTGGGTGGTCACCGGTGCGTGGTGCACTGCAGGGTACACTGCACTTCCACTGACGACCGCGACGACGGCTGCTGCGAATAACTGCGGAAAAAAAAACACACAAAAGCGCGCGATTAGTAAGACTTTTCACACGCCAAGTCGTGTACCAGCTGTCGCGAATATCCCCACAAAAGTTTTCGACGAGGACGATCGGTTTGGGACGAAGGGTCTAAAAGTTTAAAGCAGTCCGCGATCGGACGAGATCGTTCGGAGTCCGCGACGTTTTCAAAAAATCTCGTCGAGACATTATTATATTCGTGTACCCACCGAGTACGTGTTATGTGGATAATGTAAACAGCGGTAGAGGTATTCGTAGGACCGCGAGAAAAATTCAATACTAATATAACAAGTAAAGGTTTTTATTTTATTATTATTATTATCGCAGTGTTCATATTTTACGCGTTTTATATCGTGTAACGTTTATTTTACGCGTGCATACTATTTTCCGAGCGCGATAATAAGTACACACGAGAACAAACTATAAACGTCGAATTGATAAGCGACCTCAGTATGCGGAGGAGGTGCGGTATATAAGACAGAGTTTTATTTTTTTATTTTCCTCGCGCTCGTTCGATAAATAACTCCACGGACTCGACACGCACGCACGTACACAAGCCGCGTGAAAGCTTCAATAATATCGTCTGTCGTGTTTAGCACGATGACGTATACACGAGCGTTGTGTGTGCCTCACATCTTTCTATTATAATAAGCACCTACAAAACGTGATGTACGACGTGCTGTGGAAGAAAAACGCACCGCGGTCTGTCGGTTATTGTAACCGTGTTCGTAGCCATGTGCGGGAGACCGCGGTGAACTTGTGGCGTTTTTCACAGTTATCAACAAATACGCGCTCGAAAAAAGGAAATAGAACAAATAATATTCATTTCGAATTTCTCTAGCCTCCGTATCCGGGTTCTAGATCACAATAATTGCGTTATGTATACATTCTCATTATTACTATGTGTTATCATTGGTGATTCTATATAATATGTATTCGTCGGCGGCGTTAACGACTCTCGAGACCATCGCGTAAAATAGCGTTAAATTTGTATACGCATACACGTGCAGCGAGTGCGCAATGCAACTTGAACTTTGATGATAAACTGCACACGCTCTTTATGCTATGGTAATGATGCGCCGTTTAAATTATAAGCAAACATTATTCACAGACGCCAAGTAATTTCAAAGAATAATGGCGGTACTCAGCGGCCGAGGCGATTTTTAAGCCGATTTTCGACTGTAAGATTAATTATTTCCACCGCAACGGGCGCCGCACACGCGTATTTACGACGTATACGAACGTAATCGAAAAACACCCCTCTCACGACGTATAGACGGCGGCGGGTCGCGGTCTTGTCGCAGGGCGGTCAAACTCGAATTAGACATGTACAATAATAATGATAATATACGTTCGCTATCATACACGCGAATAGGGAATATATCACGACTATTTTTCACTGTTTTAATCGAAACACCAGTTTTATTCGTTTTCGAAGACCGGCTGTGATGGCGAGTACGGTGACAATGGTATTTTAAATAATAAAACTTCATACACTTACCAATAGACTAGAATTCATTTTTCTTGGTGTTTGGAACGACTTCGTTGTCTTCTAGTAACGTGTAAAACGAGACCACTAAGACTCAGATAAACGCACTAAATCGTTATCGCACGACCGTAGTAAGAAGTACCTAGCACGGACTGTCGATCGACAATGCTGTTGATCGGTTGGGTACCGCATGGGTATTTATATACGATTTATTGATGGAAAAAAAATCGTTTTGACCTTAGTCGCGCGCTGCGGTGGCGGTATAACATGATAATGATTATTACTATTATAGGCGTCGGTCACGCGGAAATCGCCCCGGGGATACGACGTTGAGGACAGTGATACGGTATCATTGCCGGACTTCGCGGTCGCGACCCTGCCCTTTTGCGCCCGACAATCTCGCCGAACGTAGTGCCCACTCTCGTTATCCATTCGCTTCGTCACCCTTTCGCGGCCACCGGTGGCCGGTAGTCCGGAGGACCGGAGTTAACGTCGAGTAAGTACACACCCGCGTACACCGGGGCAGCCATGTCGATCAGTCTCGGATTCGTATGTAACACAATGATATTTTGCGAAAACATTTGTCGTTTCTATATTCTCGTAAGGCCTTCTTTACGCGTGTAATTATGAACATTTAATATGTCTTTAAAAATTTTCTATTTCAAAATATAAAATTAAAAATATTTATTTTTTTATTAACACAAAAATGTAATTGCATAATAAATGTCTTACCTTAAAAACCTATAACCCATAACCCATCTCGAATCCACTCATCGCGACCAGACATCTAAAATTAACGGTTTAGTCACGGTATTTTAATAACTAAATCGATGATTTGATAATTTTTGATGAATTTTGTCCATAACATATTTTACGAGTACTTTGTATCATATCGAAATATAAAACTAATAAATCTTGACGGCTTGAATATTATTTTCAATATTTCCCAAGGTAAATTATTAAATTTATTTACATAGCTTGTTGTGATATTTAATTAAACGTCTAAGATAATTGCAACGCTTATGCATTTGAAGAACATTTTATATCTAAGTAGTTAGTACATAGCACAAACAAATTAAGAACATTTATGAATCTGATTTTATCTAAGCAATGTATTTTAATAGTGGATAAAGTGGCTTTAAAGAATAAAACATTGCCTAAGAATTTGATATTTCTTTCAGTATCCTTTCAGTAATTTACAAAAATAAGAACAATATTTCAGGTAACTTATAATTATATACATATTATGTACAGTTGTAACAATTTAAACAGAAAGTTTATGATTTAAATTTTTTCCATTAATTGAATATTTTAAAATATAAACATAAGATACTATTAAAAATTAAATCAATCATAATTATTATATAACTAGTTTTTTTTTTTTTTTTAACTAGAAACAGTATTCTATTCATTTTAATATTTGTATTGTAATAAAATAGTACACTGAGTGTAGTTGTATATGGTATATTATCGTGTTCATTTTTATATGGTTAAGCCTCACATTGGAGTTACACGTATTCACTTAGCAATAAAATATTATTATAATTGGTGTATTCTTAAAACTAACTGTAAATAGTATTCATGCACTGTAGTATATTTATAAGCAGTGCAATAAATATTGTGTTATTTCTATGTACGAAACATTTAACGTTTTCTGTAAAAGTGTTTGCTAACTTTTGCTTTAAATATTTGGATTAATTTTTATATAAATATTAAGGGAAAGTCCGATATTTACTTGAAACTAAGCAATTTGGGTACACATATAAATTGTAAAATTATAAAATGTAAGACATTACAGAGTTTAAATTTAAAGCAAATAGACTTTTTAAATAGGTATGTAATAATTGTACACGATTATTTTTAATATAAACGGACCATTTATATTAAATTTATTACCCAGCTTACAAAAGATCGAAAATATTTAATGAAAATACAGTAGTACCGCTATTTAACGCAAGTCTTTAAATAATGAAATATTTTATAAAACCATAAAATCTTTATCAAAAAAAAAACATTTCTATTTAGTTAAAGCATTTTTATTTGACGAATTAATTTTAGTTTTATTTTTATAACAAATTTAAAACTATTGTATCGTTACATATTTATAAAGTACACCCTCGTCAATCAGACTTTTTTAAATAAGTATGAGCTTTTTTATTATCAGAATGGTGTAAAAGTTATTCAACAAGATATCACAAAGTTCTTCAACAAGGATAAACAAATGTATACGTCATACTTTATATAATTTAAATTCATTTTATTGATTTTAATTAATTCATTAATATTAACTATTATACAATGTCTAAATATTATATATTATTATTCGCAAATATTTTGTATACTAAAAATGTGGTTTTTTTAGGGAAAAATCATTATTTCTTTTTAACAAAATTCCTATTTAACGAATTGAATTTAAAAAATCTTCAAGTTCATTTAATAGAGACTCCACTGTACATAAAAGTTTAATAAAATATAAATTATACCTTGAATTATATCTACTAGATTGTATTTCCACATACATAATAAAAATATTGATGAATTTAATTTATACTTAAAAATTTTAATTAAGTATATTTTTCAGACTTAATAGTTCATACTAGTAATTGATCACTTAATTATTTTATATAGCTTTTATGTTTGCTTATTTCAAAATGCGGATTTCTACCTTTTAAGGTAAATACATTTAAAGAATTATACTAAAAATATATTAATATAAAAAAACCTTCCCCACTACGTTTTGTATAAGTTTAAGTATTTTACTATATTGACTATTGAACCTCTTTCACACCCGCTGCAACAACTAAAACGCTTCGCATAACAATGCCTTTAAAATTTATCGCTTCATGATTCAAACTTCTAAACAATTTTACTGTGCCATTTAAATTAGCGGAATTACCATCTAATTGGCACTTACAGCAATAGCGATAGTGTGAGAAGGTTTAACGACATAAGAAATTAAATATTTGTTCTGATTATGACACGTTCAAAGAAGTTTTTTTGAACGCTATACGATTTAAATAAATTTGATACAATTAATAGTGTTGTGCATATTTTCTTAATTAGTAATTATTGTTTTAAAAGTTCTATTTACTTAATACAATAAACAAAACATAATATATTAATGATTCTACTTAAGTTATTATAAATCTATGTAAATTTAAAATTCTAAATAATTAATTTTAAAATCGATAAAAAAAATCCTTAATTTTTTTGTATTTATTATTGGTAGTGTTTAAGAAGAGAAAATAATAATAATTTTAAGTTTTTTAATATTCAAAAATATACAACATTTCTGTTACGTTCCTAAACATCCGAAATACTGTTACGTTTCAGAACATTTTTTTTTTTTTTAATCTTAATTGAATTAAAATGTTAAAAATTCAAAGGAGTCATAATTTATTTAAGTTTAACCTTCAAAATAACTTTTATTTTAACAAAAAAAACTTGAAAGTGTACTATTATAATCAAAATGTACCCGTAAAATATTATATTTTATAGGAAGCAATTATGTAAACAAATCAATACGTTCAGCTCAACAGTATTATAAAGTTGTACCCTTAAGACTGCACATGTTCGATAATACGTTTTTAGTTAGTTTTTTAATTACAAATACAAGTTTATAAATCAATATAAATTGTTATGCATAAATTATTTGCCTTTGTATTACACATCACTGACCAATTTATTATAATATGCAATTATATACTATTTACATTGAAACCTTTCACTTTTATTATTTTTATAGGAACTAACTCATGAGTGATTGTCTAATTGTATTCAATTTTTATTTAATTATTAGGTATGTGTTATGGTATTTATATGTACGACTAATTTTGTTCAGATCAAATTCATGTTTATTGTATTAACGGATTATTTCAAAGCTGCTTAACGCGACTGCAATTGATTCAATAAACATTTATAAAAGTTGTTGGTCACTTAAGAAAATATCTTAGAACAATATTTTGTATAGCAATTTACTTAATAGATATGTCTACTACATTAATGATAATTAACTATTATTAAAGTCATTAGGTAAATTATAATTCATAATACATATAGATATATTTTTAACACGAATATATGTATATATGTACTCAATTTTTATCATTTGTATATACTTAACATACACTTTTATTCCGAAAATAAATGGCATGTTATGTCTTTAATTATTTTGCCTATTATACGAAACATAAGTTATAATATTAATGACATAAGTAAATATGTGTAATTAGCAACATGCGTATTATTAGTACACCATTAATGGACGATAATTATGAAATAAGGGCGTTTTTTTAAGTACGTTAAAATACAGAAAAAAGTTTGAATAGATTATTTTACGAACGAAAAGATGGGAAATATATTTTGAACATAATTTTTTTGTATAGTATAAAATAAAATTTTATTTTTATAACTATTATAAAGGCTTTTATTTATTTTTCCCGTATTATTAATCGAATAACTAGGTATATGGCATATATGTATACGTTTTTTCAACCATCGTGTTTCTAAAATCATGCATTCAGTTGGTAAACGTTAAGCGTGAATTTACACATGTTTTTGGTTCTTTCTTGAACACGAGGGAGGGGGTTTTAGCAAGAATGATTTATTTTCGGCTTCTATTTATGTCATCTCACTCATATTTACGTGCTGGTCCAACAACTATTGATAAAAGTATATTTTGTTATAAATTGGTTTTCATAATTCAAGTCGAGAGGAAACATGCAGTACGTTTCAAGAGAGACACCGCACACGCATAATAAACACCATAACCGTCTAACGGGCAACAATATTATAAACTATAAGTGTTTAATGCGAGAAAAAAATAGTAAATAAAATGAAATAAAAAGTGTTTAAGAATACATAAAATTAAATGTTACATTTTACACCTTTGGCCGTTCGACACTAATATCTTGTGTAAATCGAATCTCATTTAAATACGAAAAACATGCCTACATAATAATATTGTACACAACGTTTTTACATCGAACGGATAACGCAATTTTATTAAGTGTGGCCGTAACCTATAGGTACCTATACAATATACATCATATAATATATATATATGTAATATGTATATATATATATTTATATAATATTGTACGATATAAACACGATGATTTAAGTAATATATTATAATAATATACGTTTTGAATAAAATCTATCAGGCACGATCTGTGTATTGTACTCGCGAC